TTAAGAAAAAGAAAACGAGACAGAAAAAAGGCAATCAACAGAGTAATACAAAGAAACAGAAACTGGAGGGTGACGTGAAAGGAGAGCGAACTGTGAAAGGGTTCCATGAGCCTCTGGAAAATATTTCAGGCATGGTGTCTGCTGAAATTCAGGATCCACAAAAAGCTGATGAAATGGTACCACCAAACGAAGATGAACAGTCTGATTTTAAAGAAGAGGGAGCATCCAATGATGAAAACGCATCTGGTGACTGCAAGAAGAGTGATATGGAAGGTCAGGTGCTAAAGTTCCGGGTGACATGTAACAGAGCTGGTGGTAATCACAGCTTTACATCAAATGAGGCAGCAAGGGATTTTGGAGGAGCTGTGCAAGATTTTTTCCAGTGGAAAGCAGACATGACCAATTTTGATGTGGAGGTACAGCACAGCTGTGTGTGTTTTTTAAGTCCGTGTGTGTGTGGCAGTAAGAAAGAGTGAAAATATGATGCATTTTAGACTTTAATTTTTACAAACACTCCTGTACTGAGAACCTGTTTCAGCAAGAGGCATGAAATGGAGATGGCAAATATGGAAGTGGCTGAGACCACTGGTGGTGATTGCTGCCCTGACTCAGGTCTTCTTTATCTAATGTAACCTGATTGGCACTCTGATTACGCTACTCATCAGCTAAGATTTTGGTTTGGGATCGCTAATAATTAAATGCTGTCTAGTTGTCCCCAGTTTCCCCTGGTGCATGTTACAAGATGTATGGATCGGTGCTTTTCTTGTCACTTTATTGTACACTGTAGTCTGCAGAGAAAAACAAAATACTGCTTTAAAAACGTGATTGGGCATTGGCCCACAAGAACAGATGTCTTTTCAGAATTGTTTGTTTTATTATTCTACCTTCAGCGTACTTCACAGGGTAAAAATTGGTGGGTGGGCAGTGGCTTCTTCATTTTAGTGAAGGATTTTGAGACATTTTCTTTTGAATACACAGGAAGATGGATGAGATGTTGGTTCTGCTATCTCCCTTTATGTTAGTTATCATACAGTTGTCAGAAGGGACAGGCATGGACAATCTAGAAATTAGAGTTTACAGATCAGCTAGATCTCAGTCAGTATGCAAGAGTACCTGAAGGACAAGTTTTCATTTCATGAATTAAGGGGAAGGGCTTATGGAAACTTTAGAAACTGAAGAGGGTAAACTTGGAATTCCTGTTCGTAGGTGCTGCAGTGCTTAGGGTGAAGTATATTGTTCTGTGGATTTCCCTATAGGTTCTTCTGAACATTCACAATAATGAAGTCGTAGTGGGGATTGCCTTAACAGAGGAGAGTCTTCACAGAAGAAATATTACACATTTTGGTCCCACAACCCTTCGATCTACTCTAGCATATGGTATGCTCAGGTAAGTGTGAAGATTTATTTGGGAATCTTAACAGATGAAGGTCCCTCAAATATGCACTATACCCTAAATGTGTTTGTGTATATTCTGCTGCTTGGTGCCAAACACTGGGTATCTGAAGATCCTGTCAATGTGTCTTGAACTGGGCAACTGAGGGAGCAATCCTAAGCAGTCTACCAGAAGTAAGTTCCATTTTACTCACTGGGGCTTAGGATTGCCGCCTGAGTGTGCTCCAGTGGGTTACACAGTGTGGAATTCCTTCTAATCTTAAGTACAAGAAAAATATTTATTCTGTAGGTTTTTAGTATGGACAAAGACTATAACTTGCGAGAAGTGTATTATAAAGTTGTACTAATAATTTATTCTGATCATTAAAAGTCTGTTTTATTTTAACTCAAACATATTTTTGAAGGGATCTTAATATCACTGTTTGGTGTTGAGTTGCAGTGATGGCAGTGAAATTCAAAGGTGGTTGTTTAAAAATATCTTGTTATTTCTAAGGCATGGCACTACTGTAATTGTCTATGTTTGCTGTTGGTTTCATTTATTATACAAACATTGGTAAATTGATAATGTTTTCTTTTTCCACGCTGATTTTCCTTCATTCAAATTTGTTTTTAGGCTTTGTGATCCTCAGCCAGCTGATATAATAATTGATCCAATGTGTGGAACAGGTGCCATACCAATAGAGGTACTGTTGCATTTTGAAAGCTGAAGTAGCTAGCAACTCACAGAATAGTGCATGTCTTGGTAACACTTACCACTTTCTCAGTTTAAAGTGTCATCTATTGTCATATCATTTGTATTGGCCACCTAGGCTTCCAATCCACTAATCTACATATTGTAGCCTGCTGTCACAACCTACAAATTTTTTTGGCATGTTGTTTGTGACGTAGTGTTTTTGGTCAGGTGAAAAATAAGTGTGTAGATTCTCTATACTGTGTTAGACATATACTGTAGCCAGTTGTGTTAACCATTCCCAGGGTAATAGGATTTATAAATTGCTATATATAATATTAATCCAGTGTTGCAGTTAACTGTTCAGGCATCTTATGTGTCCCCTTACAGATCCTTATAACACCCTATAAGGAGGGCCAGTTGTAGTGTTACATCTAAAGGTGATGAGGTCAGGAAATGTGGTTTGCCAGAGGCCATCGTGGTAATTTAGCTACTTTGTATATCCTGAATATTTTGGTTGACATAACGCGGGTAGCTGACTTCATCAGCTGTCAGTTTAGAATTTTTTCTGTAATACTTGTGACTGTTTGGCTCACATGGCATTAAAAAAAGACAGAGTGGGGTGTCCTGAGGAAGGATCAGACATCTCTGCTTGCTGCTGTGAATCAGGATAGGGATTGTGCTGGAACTGTGGGGTGCCAAAAATGAAGGGAAGAAAGCACTAGGGGTGTGCATTCGGGTCTACCTGAA